AACCGGTATCCTGTCCCGTGGTCCCCGGTCACCCCATTGTTCCGGGTCACCACACACACGCGCACACGCACACACACACACACACACACACACGCAGACACACACACGCGCACGCACGCACGGGGGTGTCTGTCAGCGGGTGCTCCGAACGCGTGTTCTTGCGTGAAGGCAGCTGCCACGTCCTGCGTGGTCCTCACAGGGGTGTCTGCACTGCGGGCTTTGCAACGGGAGAAGAGCTGGTACATCCGCCTTCCAAACCCTGCCCCTCCCCCAAGAAAGGGGGAGAGAGGGGAAGGCAGGGATGGAGGATGGAGAGAGACAGGGAGGGAGAGAAGGAGGAAGGAGAGGGCTGGAGGCTCAGGAACTCGGCGATGTGGGTCCATCGGATGCGACAGGACGATGTGCTGAGGTCAGGAAAACACGGGGAAACTAGGCTGATCGGGGCGGTCAGCATCCTCCTGGGCTGTGCCCGCCCTCTGGGGTCTTGAAAATTGGCCACGTCAGCAACTAAAGAGGAGCCAGTTAGGTCTGCTGGGATCAGATGTCTCCTCCGGCACCTTCTGCCTCTGAGACCGCTCTCCTCAGCCCGAACCTTCCCAAAGCACCCTCCACTGGGCCTCCAGTCCGACCCACCGCCCTCCAGTCCGACCAACCGCCCTCCAGTCTGATCCACCGGCCCGTCTCTGCTGACCCACCGCCCTCCAGTCTGATCCACCGCCCTCCAGTCTGATCCACCGCCCTCCACTCCGACCCACCGCCCTCTAGTCCGACCCACCACCCTCCAGTCCGACCCACCGCCCTCCACTCCGACCCACCGCCCTCCACTCTGACCCACCGCCCTCCACTCTGACCCACCGCTCTCCAGTCACCCTCCAGTCCGACCCACCACCCTCCACTCCGACCCACCACCCTCCACTCCGACCCACCGCCCTCCAGTCCGATCCACCGCCCTCCACTCTGACCCACCGCCCTCCACTCTGACCCACCGCCCTCCAGTGCTGACCGCCCTGGAAAGAAAGCCCTCGGGACAGAAATGTCCTATTTTATTTAATTTAAAAAACACATATTTTGTTGATTTTTTACAGGGAGGAAGGGAGAGAGATAGGGAATTAGAAACATGGATCAGTTGCCTCTTGCTCACCCCCCACTGAGGATGTGCCCACATCCAAGGTCCATGCCCTTGACCGGAATCGAACCTGGGACCTTTCAGTCCGCAGGCCGACGTTCTATCCGCTGAGCCAAACCGGTCCCGGCAGAAATGCCCTATTTTAAAGCGTCAGAGGCCTCCCTGGATACCAGCTCTTTATTTAAACACCAGGCGGCTGAGCACGCGCGATGGTGGCCCAAGGACACCCCGCATTACTCATCCAGGGTCTGCCGATCCTTCGCTCGCTCCTTCTCCTCGCCTGACCTTCTTTCCAAACACTTATTTCCTCCTTCCTCTCCGTCCTCGCCTGCCCCGTCCGTCCTCACACAGGGCGGGGCAGAGGTAAGTGACAGCTGGGAGTAGGCAAAGCCCGGAGCTTATGCCTGTATTGTTATTAATTAATCACTGTTTTCCTTCACCGTGAACCACAGTTAACCTGCTTTTGCCCCGCCTGTATTCTGGCGTACCAGTAATCTCCCCACCCCATACACTGGACGCTCCAGTGAAAAAGCTGAGCTATTCTTCTGGCCCGACGGTCCTTTCTTTCTGAGACCAAGCCACCACTTCTATCACCTCCCGCATTTCCAAAACACTGTTAATTAGTTCAGACCAAATTAACGTGCTAACAAGTTCTATTTTCACACTTCGTGTTTCCCGATTTAGCCCTTTTTCCTGTTAAATCACATGGTCTGATTACCACCACTTCTAAAGCTTTCTCTAACCTGGACCCGGTTATTCACCTATCACAAAAAGTTACTTTCTACTTTGCTCCATTTAAAAATAACGGCTAACTGTCTACTTATTCATGCAATGTTACAATAAGGCTTTTAGTTATTCCTAGAGCTTTATTTTTTTAAAATAAATAAATAAATAAAGTCAACTCTTCAGTGCTGGCAACAATTTATTATCACTGTATAAAAGGTTAAGGCCTTTGTTGGCATTAATTCAATACTATTAAGACTTGCTTTAAAAAAAAAAAAAAGCAATTTAATAAATGGGCAGAGGACCTACATACACACTTCTCCAAAGAGGACATACAGATGCCAAGAGACTTAGGAAAAGAAACTCAGCATCGCTCATCGCCAGAGAAACGCAAGGTAAAACCGCAAAGAGATGCCACCTCCCAGAACGGCTGCCACCAGCAAGTCAACCACCAAGTGCTGACGAGGAGGAGGCCAGAGCCCTCGGGCATTGCTGGTGGGAGTGCAGATGGTGCAGCCCCCGGGGAAAACAGTGTGGACCTCCTCAGAACGTTACGATGGAACGGCCTCATGACCCAGCGATCCCACTCAGCCCGTGTGTTCACTAAAGCAGCCCCTGTGCCCATCGGGAGGGGAGGGGTGAGCGCGCTGTGGTGCGTGTGCCCCACGGAATGCTACTCGGCCACAAAAGGAACGGAACCTTGCCATTGGCAACGGGATGGGGGGACTAGAGAGGACGGTGCGAAGTGAGACACGTCAGTCAGAGAAAGACACGCCCATGAGGACTTCGCTCATATGTGAAATCTGAAAAAACAAAACAAACAAGCAAAACAGAAACAAGACTCCTGGACGCAGAAAACAGACTGGGAAGGCTGCCAGAGGGGAGGGACTTGGGGGGCTGGGTGAAGGGATTTAGAGGTGCCATTTGGTAGCTACGGAATAGTGATGGGGATGCAAAGTGCAGCCTAGGGAATACCTATCTATGTAAAAGCCTAAGCGACCCTTCGACCGTTCAGCCAGTAGCTATGATCCACACTGACCACTGGGGGCAGACGCTCGCTGAACAGGCATGGAAACATGGAACAGACTGGTAAATCTCAGAGGGAAGAGGGGGAGGGGGAGGGTGGGAAGAGATTAACCAAAAATCTCATACACATACTCTAAAGGCCTGGAACATGGGTGTGTGCCTCGGTGGGGTCCCTCGGCCTGGCCTGCGGGGATCCGGCCAAACCGGCAGTCTGTCATCCCCTGGATTGTGAGACCTGGATTGCCAGGCCGAGGGACCCCACGGGTGCACGAATTCATGCACCGGCCTCTGTTGTAATAACTATAGACGGAGCCAGGTGGGTGCTGCAAATAGCAGGGGGTCACTTTGCAAAGTACATGAGTGTCTACCTAACCACTGGGCTGTACCCTGGAAACCAATACAACCTACTATTGGTGGAGGGAGAGACCTGCCTAGGAAAAACCACTCCAAACCCTACACAAATGGCTCCCCATGTGTCCGGAGGGCCCCATCGGGGCTGTGGACGATGAAGGAAAGTCAGCGTCTCAGTTCCTCCGCCTCCCCGGCTCCCCCCGCCTCTGTCAGGACCGAAGGAACTCGCTTGCTCCGGGTGGCTGAGACGGTCCAAGGCGCTCATCAATATTAAACCGCCTTTCAAAGATAAGCTTCATATAAATTTAAAGGTGTTAGCGAGTAAGGAAAAATCCCCTCCTGTCTGTCACGGGGACAGGGAGAGGGCGGGGAGGTGAACGTACCTTTCTCCCGGAACAAACCTTGCTCCTCGTCAGCAAAAAAAAGCGTTGACCTGGTACCCGCCCTGCCTGCGCGGACACCGCAGCGGCCTCCTCAGCCGGGCGCGGCGGGTGCCGGGCGCGGCGTGTGCACGGAGGTCACGGCCGTGCTGGGCTCGGGGCGCGCCTCCTCCCGGGAACCCTGCGTGCTCACACAGACCACGGCTGCGGGCACAGGGTTACTTTCACTTCCGGCACTTTAATCAGCTGCCAGCAGCCACAGTGTAACCGCTCAGGGGCAGGTGGCTTACTAGGAACCAAAAGTTACGGCTCCGATGGGAGCACTCAGCCAGGACTGACATGGATAAGGCAGAGCATTCAGGTTCGGAGCTAAGGTGGAGTTTTTTCATGCTCGGACACACTGAGTTTAAAAAGCAAACAAGCAAGCACACCCAGAGACACACACACACACACACACACACACACACAGCCCCGGCCGGTTCGGCTCAGTGGACAGAGCGCCCGCCTGCAGACCAAAGGGCCCCGGGTTAGATTCCGGCCAAGGGCATGCACCTCGGCTGCAGGCTCCTCCCGGCCCATCCACCTGTTCCTCTCAGATTGAGGTCTCTCTCTCTTCCCCTCTCTCCCGCCCTCCCTGAAAATGAATGGGGAAATGTCTTCGGGTGAGGGTCACACACACACACACACACACACACACACCCCACACACACACGCACACACACGCGTGCGCCAAGCCTCCGTGTCACCCTGCCAGGCACAGGAGTGGCCCATCCCGCCGTGAGACGGGGGGACCGCGGAGCCTGCGTTGTGAGTGAGATCCCATGCATCCCTGACACCCACCCCCAGGAGGCCAGGGCCAGGCTCCCGGAAACCGCAAGCCCTGGGGAGCAGGTCCCGGACACAGCTCCAGCCACAGCTCCAGCTGCTGGCCTTGGCCGGCCGCCTCCCTGTGTCCCCCGCCGGACCCTCCGGCCTGGTGCCCACGGGTGGCCGTGACCCCGGGCCTGGGGCGGGGGCGGGGGCGGGGGCGGCGGCCGCTGTGGCTACAAGGCTGCAACTTTCGGCCCCGAACCGGGAGGTGAACTCGCCGTGACTTTTCTCCGTGACCCCCGCGCCCCCGCCGCCGCTCCTAACGGGCCGGCCCGGCCTCCCGGCACACGCGCCGCGGGGACCCGTGTCCGCCCTCCCGTCCGGGTCCGGTCCGGGTCGGGGTCCGGGTCCGGTCCGGGTCCGGGTCCGGTCCGGGCGCCCCGGCAGCGGGCGCGCACGGCGGCCTCCCCGCGGCGCGGCCCGGGCGGGGGGCGGGGGCGGCGGGCCGGGGACAAAGCCGGGGCCGCCCTGCGCCCGCGGGTCCGGGTCCGGGTCCGGGTCCGGGCGGGGCGGGGCGGGCCTACCTGGTCCAGCGGCAGCCGCACGGCGTCGCTGAGGGGCCGCAGCAGCGCGGAGCCCGTGGCGGAGCCCGTGGCGCTGGCGGAGGCCATGGAGGCCGAGCCGCTGCCGGCGCCGGGGATGGGGATGCGCCGGGGCCGCGGCGGCCGAGGAGGCGGACCGGCTCCCGGCTCCCGCCCCGCCCCCCGCCCGCGGCCCAATGGGCGCGGCGCCCCGGCAGCGGCGGCCAATCAGAGGCGCCGCCCGCCGCTCGCTCCCGCGGCCGGGCCGGGCGGGGGGCGCACAGCCGGGCGGGGGCTCCGGGGCCCGGGACGAGGCGGGGGCGGGTGCCCGCTGCTACCGCCCTCCCCGCCCCGGCCCCCCCTCTCCCGCCCCGGGCCCCCCCTCTCCCGCCCCGGGCCCCCCCTCTCCCGCCCCGGGCCCCCCCTCCCGTGTCTCCCCCCGGGTCTCCCCCCCGCCCCGGGCCCCCCTCTCCCGCCCCGGGCCCCCCCTCTCCCGCCCCGGGCCCCCCCTCCCGTGTCTCCCCCCGGGTCTCCCCCCCGCCCCGGGCCCCCCTCTCCCGCCCCGGCCCCCCCTCTCCCGCCCCGGGCCCCCCCTCTCCCGCCCCGGGCCCCCCCTCTCCCGCCCCGGGCCCCCCCTCCCGTGTCTCCCCCCGGGTCTCCCCCCCGCCCCGGGCCCCCCCTCTCCCGCCCCGGGCCCCCCCTCCCGGGTCTCCCCTCGGGTCTCCCCCGTGTGTCCCCCCCGTGTCTCCCCCCCGTGTCTCCCCCCCATGTGTCCCCCCGTGTCTCCCCCCGGGTCTCCCCCCGGGTCCGCGCCGCCTGGGGGTGGGGAGGGTCGGGGAGACAAAGGAGCGGGGCCGCCACACGCAGCCCGGCGGGGGGCGCGGGCTGGAGGGGCCTGTGTCCTGGGAGCAGCCCTGCGCGGTGCCTCCCTCCCGCCCCCGCCCAGGCCTCCGGGGACCCGCCGCCCCCTCCCGCGGGGGACCCGGCCGCCCTGAGGATCGCTGTCTGCGCCCCCGTCCACCCCACGCGCCACCCAGGTCCTGCGGGCGGCGCGCACCCTGTCTGTCCGCGGGCCCCCTGTCTGCCTGCCTGGGGCACCCTATCTACCTGCGCCGGCACCCTGTCTGCGCCGGGCACCTTATCTACCTGCGCCGGCACCCTGTCTGCGCGGGGCAGGGTGTCCCTGGTCCAATCCACCTGCCCAGACCCAAACCCTGAGCCCCTGGCAGAGGCCGTGTCCCCCGAGGAGGGGGCAGCTAGGGGGCTGGGGGTTTGGGGGGCTGGGGATTTGGAGGTGGGGGTTTGGGGGGGCTGAGGGTTTGGGGGGCTGGGGGTTTGGAGGTGAGGGTTTGGGGGGCTGGGGGTTTGGGGGGCTGAGGGTTTGGGGGGCTGGGGATTTGGGGGGCTGGGGGTTTGGAGGTGGGGGTTTGGGGGGCTGGGGGTTTGGAGGTGGGGGTTTGGGGGGCTGGGGGTTTGGGGGGCTGGGGGTTTGGGGGGCTGAGGGGCTGGAAACTCCAGGCCAGCGGCCTGAGCTTTGGGAAGGAGCAGGGACAGCGGAGGGAGCAGAACCACAGCTTCACACTTGGACGCTGTGTTCAAGGTGCCAACAGGTCCCCCCACCGCCCGGGAGACAGGGCGCACCGCCCGGACCCCACAAAGCCATGAGGCTAGGCACTCGGTCGACAAACCGGGCTCTCGAGCCACAGGCGGCTCTCTGGCCCCTGGAGTGTGGCTCTTCCACAAAACACCACGGCCTGGGTGCGTCTGTGTGGAAGACGTGGCGTGAGAAGAAGTTGAAGTTTAAAGAATGTGGCTCTCCAAAGACGTGTCAGTCGTTGTGCTGTTGATGTTTGGCTCTGTGGACGGAGGAGTTTGCCGACCACAGGGCTAGGAACTCGCCCAGAACAGCCCAGCTGAGGAGCAGGAGAGAGAGGATGGCAGCCGAGGAGCCCACCTTCCGTTCCCCTCCTCTCCCTCCAACCGAAACCCCAGCCAGAAACCCTCATGGGGACCAGGAGCCCAGCCTGGCCTGGAGTCTCCCCAGGCCTGGGGGGCCCGCACAGGGGGGCAGACGGGAGCTCCAGCCCCACGCCTCTGGGCCCCGGTCATCCCTCTGCAGAGGAGGCCGTGAATGGATCGGCTCAGCTGCCTCCTGCCTCTCCGTCTGTGATCTGTTGCTTAACTTAACGCCTCGGATGGGCCTCGCTGGGAAAAGGGCAGAAGGCAAATCCGCAAACCAGAGCCTCGTGCTCCGGCGGTCCCAGTTGTGGTTGATGTTACTATTGGAGCATAATCACGGCATAAATTATGCTTCATAAACTATAACTCAAAAGAGAGCTCAGAACCGCACGTGGTGAGACTTAAACTCTACCAATTACCACCCAAGGAAATATCATGTGATTCTGAAACCGGGAACTGTTTTTCTCACACGTTTTCAGTGAAGAAATGGAGGCCCATATTTCAGGGTGATCGCTCAGGGGCGATGGCGTAATTGCGAGGCAGGCCGTCAGTCTAGTGTCTGCCGATTAGATCAGAAGCCTTACGCTGTGACGAAGGGAGAAAGAATGGAGCTAATTACACAGACTGCCTCCGTGCCATTTCAGAGGCATCCGCCCTGTAAAAGTGACTCTCACAGGCCGAGTTCTTTAAAAGCAAACGTAAGCACTTGGTACATTCAAGGAACTGGATGGGGTTCTATAAAGAGCGAAGAATGTTTTTCATCCAAAGAAGAAACACAATCAAGACAGAGAAAGGAAAGGGTGATCAGACTAGTATCTAGCGGGCCTGTCCAGCGTGGCGCGGTGGCTGAGCATCGACATATGAACCAGGAGGTCATGGTTCCATTCCTGGTCCGGTCAGGTCCCCGGGTGGTGGGCTTGATTCCCAGTGTGGGGCGTGCAGGAGCCAGCCAATCCATGATTCTCTCTCATCATGGATATTTCTCTCTCTCTCTAAAGTAAATAAAAATGTTTTTTAAAGAAATATATCTATACCTTCAGAAGGTATATAAATGTTTAATCAGTGTGTTGTACACCCGGAACTAACAGGACATCGTATGTCCCCTGTAATTGGAAAATGAATGTTTGGAAAAAGGAAAGCACGGAATGAGGTCTTTTGTTAAATGTTGAAATCGAAAGGACAATCCAGGAGAAAGTCAAAAGGCCTGCATGTAAGCCCTGACTTTTCCACTGGATAGCTGTGAACTTGAGAAATCTGCTTAACTTGAAGGATTACACACACACACACACACACACACACGAATCTGTGCACCGGGTCTCTATTGTAATAACCAGTAAACTAACTCCCCAAGGTCAGTGCCCAGCCTCACAGGAGAACTGATTATAAGCATGACATTAATAATATCCAAGATGCTTTAAAGTATGTTAGTAATATTAGTGTTAGAAATAGCCAGTAGAAGAGGGATTCTGACATACAACCACGTTCTAATGAGTTACTCACGTAGGCCAAATCCTAAGAGCACTGAGCCGCGCTCGCTAGTATAAAAGGACTGTCTGCCCGCGTTCTCGTCCCCTCGGCTCTCCTTCCTAGCGTGGCTGTGGTCACTGAAGCTGCCACCGTGAAAATGTCCCTCTGAAGGATGGCTGCCATCATCTCAGATAGAAACGGCAGTTTCAGCTTTCACTGTGGCCCTGCTGTTTGGGGTTCTGTACTCATGTGCTTGCTAAAACAATAGAAAAGTGAGTTTGATTTTCTGAACTTGCATATCTGCCCCATCGATGGAACACTCCATGGATGGTGGTTTGAATATCCCATTGAGGGTGATCTCACTGGTTATCAGAGCAGTCTTCTGCAGCTGGGGACCAGGACAGCGCAATTACCCTAAACTGCCTCAATGACTACAGGTAACGCATCCCGGATGACTCCGTAGTCCTGGAATCTGGACACCACGCTTATTCTAAATTGCCCCAGTGGCTCCAGGTATGTGTTTTCGTTGACTCAGTGGTCCCAAGACCCAAAACTACATTTAATCTTTGTAGAAAACTAACTTGCTCAGTTTCGCGCCTGTCACTGTTCTGTGCAAACCAGCTTCCTCATTCCAAACCCCGAGATGGAATCGATACCTTTGAGGTATTCTGCACATAAGCCAGGTGTGGTGAGGGGCTGCGAGATTTGAGCGCTGTTCCCCGCGTAGCCGCCGGCCTTTGAATAAATGACTCCATCCTTTGACTTTTTGAGGCGTCCTCTGTGAGATTCAGGCACACTACAACACCCTCCCAACTTATTTTTAACTTCGAGCCAACCACTCAGAAGGAATGGATACGTTGCTTTTGTCTCATAAAGTGGTGTGTGTCATGAGATCAGTGTTCTCCGCCAATGATTTTGCCTACTGTATGCGCTTGTGTTCTGGAATGACTTTGATGACGAAGGGCATTGAACCATCCTGTGTAATAAAACCCTAATATGCACATAGACTGAAGGGTGGAACCATCAGCCGAATCACCTGTCACTATGACGCACACTGGCCACCAGGGGGCAGACAACGCAGGAGCTGCCCCCAACCATTGAGCGTCTGCCCCCCAAGAGGGAGGCGACGGGCAGCAGCGACTTGGTCTTCCTGAAATTTCAATTCCCCAAAGTGTCTAGAACTTTCCTCTCTTCCCGAACCCACCTTGGGTCCAGGTTCATTTGTCAGAGAGATGCAAACAGAACGGATGTGGACCCATCGATTGGAGAACTGCCTGGTCTTCCGATTGCTCCGCCAGCTTCAGGGCCTCTTGAGAAGGCCTGCCATTGCAGAGGCCGGGGCTCTGGCTCGGGGCTCACTGAGCTCCTTTCACCTTTACAGGGCCAGGGCCAGTCTCAGGGAGAAGGACGCCCGTCCCCTTATGCTTACGGAGTCTAGGGGAGCCACGCCAACCCCTCTGGCCTGTAGGTATAGAAAAACAAAGTGCAGCCTGGCTGGGGTGGCTCGGTGAGTGAGCGTGGACCTATGAACCAGGAGGTCACAGTTCGATTCCCAAGTCAGAGCACTTGCCTGGACTGCAGGCTCAATCCTCCACGGGATGGGGCTTGCAGGAGGCAGCCGGTCCATGATTCTCTCTCACCATGGATGTTTCTATCTCTCGCTG